CTGTAAGCCTTCACCTGAAGTACAATAAAAGAAAAAAAAAAAGAAAAGAAAACATGATTGCATATTTATATCCTAATACTTTTCTATCCATTTAGGCATGTTTAATACTTTGAGTTTTTTTACTTAAAATTTTGAATACTTAGCTTAGTCCTAAGAATAAAGTATTTTCTGGCTACAGTGGTGCCAAATGAGTACCAAGAAGTGAATTGAGCAATGTTTTTGCTTTAAAATTTAAGCTATGACTTTTAAATAAAATATCATCTAAAACACTTAGCTGCTGGATAGCATCCTCTTCAAATATGTGCAAAATAAACAATCACTTATTTTCCGCTTTGCTGTTTTTAAGCAATTTTTATTGGGTAGAGAGTCTGAGTTTCAGGATATAATGTAGTTTGCCAAATTCTGTCATCTTTTTTTTTTTTTTTTTTAAATGTCATACAGGGTGTGGTGCCTTTAGAGAATTAAAAAAAAATAAATAAGTTGAAGCTCTTGATGTTTTTCTCGTATACTGTTTCAATACTGGTAAAATAATGTAAAACCCCAGGGAAATTCTGGTTCCTACTATACAGGCACCTGAGTTTCCTTACTATTAAAAGTCAGATTATTCCCTATAGCCAGTTTTTACTTCTTTCTTGCTTAGAGTGTTTATGTTCTTAACGTTGTAAACTCATTATTGGAAATGAAGTCTTGATAAGTACTACTTTAATCCTTTTTTTTTCCTTAGAAAGGTGAAAAAAATTTAGAAGGAACAACACAAATGAGGTATTCAAATCATTACAGCCCTATGTGGTGGTAGAGTTGTTGAAAAATCTCAATTGTCTGCTATATCCAGTTTGTTCTTTTTATTCATTTATTCATCCCTGGTGATTGAGAAGCACTTAAAATACATTTTTAAGTTTTTTCCCCCCTGTAATTAAATAAAGGAAAGCCTTGATTCCACAAAGCTGAAATTGTTCTTCTTAGAAAAACAAATTCTCTGTAAAACTTAATTCTTCAACACTACAGAAAGAAATTTGTTGGAAAAGCTCTTTTAAGAACAGAGAGATGCCAGCAAAGAAATACCATTTTCAGAACATAACGTGGGATACTGGGATTTGATGATTCCGGTTCTGTCTTCATTATTTGGCATAGTTAAATCTTAATTCACTCACAGATCTCTTGCTTGAAAACACATTTCTAAATCTCCTCAGAGCAACTATCTCCCGGATCACACTCATACACCAGTAAAAACAAAAGAATCAACTGAGATTTGTTTGTGTGTGTGTTTAAAGCAAGAGGATAAGAGCAGGAGTGAAAATATGATAGGATCTTTTTTCTAGGTTGCCTTTCCTTCGATCTGCACGTTTGAAGAAGATAGAAATAAAGAAGGAGCCTCAGGTATTCCAGGAACCAGCAAGGGCTGATACTTTGTATTTAAAAACAACTGGGGAAAAACACTCTCCGACGCCAAATTCCCAACCCCTCCCTGAGAATCGATCACCGAGCCTGCCCCGCTACGGTACCACTCGCTGAGGGCTTCCTCTTTCATTCTTCTCCCCACAGACCCTGCGGCGGGGCCGTGTGACGGGGCTGTGGGTGCCGGGGTGCCGGGGACTAGACGCCCGCCCGCCTGCCCGCCGGGAAGGGAGGCGGCGGCTCTGGCCTCGGGGCCGCCCCGCCCGCTGCGGGAGAACAAACGGGATATTCAGCAGTGGCCTGCGGCTGCCAGAGCAACTCCTCGGGGGAAATTAAGCGTCGAGTCAGACTGCACCGTAATCGCCTTTAAAAGCGCCCCCACCCCGCCTGCTGCGCACACCCGGCTACCTGGGCTGCCTCGCGGCTGTGTGTATTTGTGCGCGCGCGTGTAAGAGAGCAAACCGGTGTGCGAGGCAGTGTTTACGCCGGTGTGTAAGCCTGGGTGGGTGCAAGCCGGTGTTCGCACCGCTGTGTGGACCAGTGTGTGAGCCAGTGTGCGCGGCGGCGTGTGCGCCGGTGTGGTGCAAGACCTGAGAGTCTACACCCGCCATGAGGGGCGCGAGCGCCTGGGCCCCGCTGTTGCTGGCCGCAGCCGCCCAGCTCACGCTGCAGGAGCCCACGGAGAGGTAACGCGACCCCCGCGGGCTCCCTCCCTTTCTGTGTCTCTTCCTGCAGCCTTCTCCGCCGCTCTTCTCAATCCGCTTCGGGGCGCCCCTGTGCCCCAGCACAGACCCTGCGCTCACCCCGGGCTCTGCGCCCACTGCCTCCGCGCGCTCTCCTCCTGGGGTTCCAGGACCGCGCCTGCCTGCCGGGCTCCCTCCTGCGCCCCAGCTCTGCCAGCCGAGTGGCTCTGCAGCGGGCCGGACCTCCACGTGGCGGGGGCTTCAGCTGACTTGCTTTCCCCTCCCCAAATGCATATGAGGGCCAGGGAAGCACTAGGGCCTGACTGTGTGGACTCTGGTTTACTTCTGTTTGCTTCCAACCACAGGAGTGGCTTTGCCCAGGGACGTAAGCCTAGGGGAAAACCCGAGTCGCGCGGCCCCCGGGAAGCGGCTCTCGGGAACTTAACTCTTTGCCAGCCCCGGAGCTGCGGGACGGCCTGGGACCTGGACTGGAGGACCCGCCCCATGGCCAGCTTTAGCATCTCCTCTTACACTTCCAAGGCAGTCTGATCAATCGCACTTTTCAATGGGAGGCTCTGCTAAAGGTCAAGGATTTTTAGAAGATGGACGGCGAAGCAGGCATCCCTTTAAAGCTGGGAACTTTTAAAACTTTTTATATTAACCACTTGCTCGTGTAGCTTAGTTCTCAGATTTTCCCCGACTACCACCAGTTAAGTGGATCCTTACCAGTTTCCTATGAGGCTTTAACACCACGTGGATGACTGGATTGTATACATATAAATATATCACACATAGGTGGAAGTCAACTAGCAATAACATACACACACACGCATATATACATATACACAAACACATACATATATATAAATACATATATATCGACTCCACGGCAATGGATTTTTTGAGTGATGCACATATATACGTATATATACATGTATATATACATGTATGTGTGTGTGTGTATATAGGTATACATACATACATACACAAAACCAAAAAAAAAACCAAACCCGCTGCCATCTAGTGGATCCCACATCATAGTGACCCTATAGGACACAGTAGAACTGCCACATAGAGTTTCCAAAGCTGTAAATCTTTACAGAAGCAGACTCCCACCGCAGAGTGGCTGGTGGATTCTAACCACTGACCCTTCGGTTAGCAGCCCAGCGCTTAACCACTGAGCCACCAGGGCTCCATATATATGCATATATATATACACACATATATATAATCTTGTGTTATTACGGTGGTGACAGATGGCAGATGGACTGAATGTTTTGTCAGGCTATAATTTAAGTATTCTAAGAGCTAGCAAGCTTCAGAACCCTAATATACTGCAGACATTTGTTGATCAATATTAACTTCCTGAAGCTGACATTAGATTGTTAGACTGTGTTACAACTTAAGTTTCCTCTCCTCTTTTATTTTCCCAGACCTGTTTTCACATGTGGCGGCAATTTTATTGGAGAGTCTGGATTTATTGGCAGCGAAGGTTTTCCTGGACTGTACCCTCCGAATAGCAAATGTACTTGGAAAATCACAGTAAGCATTTTTTTAAAAAGGTATTCTCCGGGAAGCAGGTATTGGAAACCGTGTAAGGCTGCTGCTGTTCTCTGGTGTCAGGATTTGGGTTAGGGGCAAATGCCTGAAATAGTGAAAGGTTGGAGTTACCGCAACTATTTGGGAGATTTTTATTAATAGAACTAGTGATGTCCTGCATTAGCGATTAGAAAGGGCACAAGATGGTGCTTGAAGGAATAAATTCTTAAAACACATGTGTTTCTAAAAGCCCAGAGCTGAGTTTTATGGATTGAAATTAAGGCTATTTTCAAAGGCCTCTTCTAATGACTTTTAGAAGCTATTTGTTGCTTCTAATGTCTCCCATTGGGGAATAGAAAATCAAAGGTAGTACTTAACCCTTGATTATATCCATTAGAGAAGGAAAAAAAAGAAAAAAAATCCCACTTAATGTTCCTGGGTTGAAACCACCACTACAGGCAATCTAAGATTAGAGAATAAAAATAACAAAAATGAATAAAGCCCACGTAGCAAACCAGGGCTAATGAAATGCTGGTTAGTAATGCATAGTCAAGATAAGAGGCTAGAATGGAGACAGCCAGCTAAAAGCAAACACACAAAAAAAGCCTGAATTTAGAGTCAGCTAGATTTAGTCATCTTTCTGGTCAGTATAGCAGTGACTCTTCTGCATTTTTTTCTTTTTTTCTGGGAAGTTGTTTGGTAATTGGACATGTTGGTTCACGGGGACCTTCATTCAGTCAGATTATGCCACCCACTGATTATGACTTTAAAAAAATAGCTACCGTTTTATTGAGCACTTACTGTGTGCCAGGCACAGTGCCAAGCAATTATAAAGCATAATCTCATTGAATCCTCGAAACAACCTTATTATCCCCATTTTATAGATGAAGAAGCTGAGACTTAGAACAATTTTGTAGATTGACCAGGTTAAACAGTTGGTAAGCCCAACTTTTATGCAAGGCGAAAAGTATTTTGCAAAGAGGATTCCCACCAAGGACGGTCATTGGCAGATACCCTCCTCTCCCATAATATTAAACTTTGCTCTTGTATGCGCTGATGCCCTCCTATAAAATATCTGTCATCTGACGAGGTGGTACAGATTTCATTACGTTATTACAGAACATGGGGCAAAGAGAATGAGTCATAGAATGCAGCTTTGAAATATTGATAGTAGCATGAATGTGAAATAAGGCTCTGAAACAAACATAAAAGTAACTTGGATTTTATATTATAGCTCATTGCCATCAAGTCAATTTCAATAGTTGTGTTTTAATTGTAATTAAGTGACTCTAAGTTAAAGATAAGAGAACATAAATGACTGAAATTCATGGTTGGCTGTGTGTTTTGGGTACTGCAAGGCAGTATGGCACGTGTGAAAACATGGCTCAGTGGCATCAGACCTCCTCATCTAACTTCATAAGGGGGAGGACAGAGAATCAAGATGAACACCAGCCCAAAGCTGATTTCTATGAAGTGGAGCTCAAACATACCTCCACCTTCCAACCTTTTTACCTATTCTGGCACCAGCCGTCCTTCCCACAGCACTCTCTACTTCTCTGCTGGGTTCCATAGTTCATTGCAATGGCCACACAGAACTCACAAACCATACTCACAGTTTATTAGAGAAGTAACAGGTTACAAATTCAGAATCGGTGTCTTAGTTCTCTAGTGCTGCTGTAATAGAAATACCACAAGTGGATGGCTTTAACAAAGAGGACTTTATTCTCTCACACATTAGTAGGCTAGAAGTACAAATTTAGGGTGGCAGGTCCAGGGGAAGGCTTTCTCTCTCTGTTGACTCTGGAGGAAAGTCCTTGTCATCAGTTTTCCCCTGTCGAGGAGCTTCTCAGCACAAGGACCCCAGGTCCAAAGGACGCACTATTCTCCTGGCTGTTGTTTCTTGGTGGTGTGAGGTTCCCATGTCTCTCTGCTCGCTTCTCTCTTTTATATCTCAAAAGAAATTGACATAAGACATAACCTAATCTTGTAGATTGAGTCCTGCCTTATTAACATAACTGCCTCTAATCCTGCCTCATTAACATCATAGAGGCAGGATTTACAACACATAGGAAAATCACATCAGATGACAAAATGGTGGACAATCACACAATACGGAGAATCATGGCCTAGCCAAGTGGACACATATTTTTGGGGAACACAATTCAATCCATGACAGTTAGGAATGACTTAGGATACAGTTCTTCAGTCAGGACAGCTTCTCAGCTGTGCCTGTAGGCAGGCTTCTCTCTGGCCCTCGGCCTATCAACCCTTGGCCTCTGCCCTGCTTGAGAAAGTGTTACAAAAATCTTTAGCTCCACTGACAAGTGCCTGGAGGCACCCTACTCTGCCAGGAAGCCTCCTGCCCGAAGTCACTCAGCTCTCTTGGTCCGTGGGTTGGCACATCCACTGTAAGCCACCTCGTTCTGGGGGCCTGGAAGCCCACCATGCCATCTCACACTGGTCTCCTGGTTCTGCTGCTGCCATTTCTCTGCTGCACTTACTGCCACTTCTTGTTATCTCTGATGCTACAGCTCTCTCTGTCTCCTGGGTCTAGGTGGTTCTCAGTGCAGGGACCCTGGGTCCAAAGGAAGCGTGCTCTGCTCCTGGCTCCTCTTCTTGGTGGTAGGGAGGTCCCCTTTCCTGCCTCTGGGATGACTCATTTTAAGCCTAGCAGGATCATAAAACTGACCAATCCCCTCATTAGGGTTCTAAACATCTTATTTACATGGTCTTATCCATGCAAAGATTCCATGTACCTCATTTGCATTGTTAGCAAGCTATCCAATATCCTTGGTGGGCCACAAGAAATTTATTTGCATAGTCCCACCCAATCATTTTGTGAGGGTCACAAGACCATGAATGGCTAGAAGAACCATGTTAAGCACACCCATTCCTCACTTGGCAACATGTTTATGTTCCAAAGACCAGGTTGCTATGTGAAAATCTGTGTTATGTGAAAATAGAGGATGACCACATCAGACCATAAAATGGAGGATGACTACATCATTACACAGCTGCCAAACCACTGAGAATCATTGCCTAGCCAAGTCGACACATAGCTTTAACCATCACAGCCAGTGTTACTCTCGCCTCACAACTCAGCATTAGTTACTGCCAGATATATGTTGTTAATGCACAAAATAGTCGGATAATAGATTTTTTACTGTTGTCGTAAATGCAAAATGTCAGATAATGAGATCGTCAATCAGTGAGGAGAAGGTGTAATTCACTGCACCACAGTATAGCATAAAAACTTAACTGGAGGATCCAGTGATGTTTTTCTTGGTAAAGGAGGGATGTGCCTCTGGAGCGGCCTGCCTGCCTGCCTCATTCGTATGTGTGGATGTGAGCATGGGGGAAGTATAATGGACACTCCGTTTGGGTGTCATGTAAGGAAAAGCATGTGGACTCAGCACTCAGACTCAGCACTCACAACCTGTGTGACCAGAAATTATCTTCTTTAAAGTTCAGGATTTTTGTTATCATTTTCATCATCCTCATTATTGCTGGTATTTAGTTGTCCCTCCTTTTGACCCAGTAGGCAATATGACCAGTCACTGCCACCCTTCTCACCACATTGGCCAAGCTGGGCTTATCATCCATCTCAAAACAATTCAGACCTTTTTGAAACAATCTACTTTGTCATCTTCATCTAGCAAGTCCTTATTTATTTACTTGGTTTCACCTATAATTTTGCTAGAGTGATTTGGTGTCAGTTAAGGCTAGGTCAGCTTCCAGCAACAGAAAAACAAAAACCAAACCTGTTGCCATCGAGTCGGTTCTGACTCATAGTGACCCTGTAGGACAGAGCAGAAGTGCCCCATAGGGTTTCCAAGCCTGCCACATCTTTCTCCCACCGAACAGCTAGTGGGTTTGAACCACCATCCTTTGAGTTAGCAGCCAAGTGTTTTAATCACTGTACTATCAGAGCTCCCGCTTCCAATAACAGAGACCCCCACATAACAGTAGCTCAAACAGAAGTTTGGTTCTCTCTCACATAAAGGAATCTGGAGGTAGGCAATCAAGGATTTGCAGCAGCTTTACAATCATTAGACACCTAGCTCCTTCTCTCTTCCTTCTTTGCCACCCTTAGCGTGTTACTCATTGTCCAAGATGACTGCTCAAGTTCCAGCCGTCATGTCCACATTCCAGCCAGCAAAGAGGAAGAGGAGAAAAAGGGCATGCATCCTCCCTTTAAGCACACTGTGCAAACGTTGCACACAGCTTTGCCGCTTACATTTCATTGGCTGGTTCTTACTGATGGTCACTCCTAGCTGTAAGGAAGCTGGGAAATGAAGGCTTTATTTCAGGTGGCCGCTTGCTCTGCTACAATTCAGGTCTTCTGTCACTGTGGGCAGATCCCTGGTGGCACAGTGTTAAGCATTGGGCACCTAACCAAAAGGTCAGCAGTTCAAATCCACCAGCTGCTCCTTGGAAATTCTACTGGGCAGTTCTACTCTGTCTTACAGGGTTTCTATGAGTTGCAGTCCACTCAGTGGCAATGGGTTTGGGTATTTTGTTTCTTTTTTTTTTTGGGTCACTGTGGGAGGAAGTGAAAAACCAGCAGATGACGAGCAGTCTCTGTGACATATTTGTTTGTGGTTTGCCAGGCTGCCTGGACTAAAGTTTATGACGTTAGGATGAGTTACAAATGTTAGCCTTTTTTGAAAAATATATTTTTTTGGAAAGCGTAAGCACGATTTGCTTTTTAAAGGTTTTTATAGTTTTCACCCTTAGCCAGTTGAGTTTATTCTATTTCTGGGGGCTGCTTCTTTTATTTTTGCATTTGAGGAGCTACTAAGAACTTCCAGAGGAGCCCAGAACATTCTTTTGGTTAGAATTACAGCCTCAGCAGAATGTTCACAAAGGCCCTGGGTGCTTGTGTGGGCTCAGTTCAACATCTTTGTTTCTCTGTATTAAAGGAATAGCACAAATTCATTTCAATTGTACACTTCAGTGATTTTTAGTAAACTTACCAACTTGTAAAACCATCACCATAAGTC